AGTGATAAGAAAGATGAAGAAGTGTTGGACATGGACAACTCTATAATTCTAGGTAGTCTAGTCTACTTACTATCTGACAACATGGCTCAGAACAATGTTGTCAATAACTCCATGAATTAACACCACAAATTACGTTCGACGGCCTTCAACTTCTTTCTAACCTACCTACCTCCCAATAATATCTGGGATGCACACAACACATATCTTAACCAGTTCAAGTCAACGGAATGCTTACGATAAACTACACTGCAAAATCGTGCATGTAGGACAGCTCACAGACTCCTTCCAAGTTGACACTGATTTCAGACAATGTTGCTTACTCTCACTCTTTCTACTGATAATCGACTGGATTATGAACACTTCAACATCTGGAACGAAGCACATGATACAGTGGACAGCCAGATTACACCTGGACATGGAGGGTGATCCAACTCTTCTATCCTAAACGCAACAACAAATGCAGGAGAAGACGACGAGTAAAACAACAGCCTGTGAAGTAGTACGCGTCAATATGCACATGAAACAATGCAAGACTCTCTGCGTTATAAATCTTTCTTAATAAACCCAGTTATTCCGATTGCTATACAACAATAAATTCGACAAGTCCCCAAATCACAACACACTTGAACAGGAAAAGATTATATTCCAAATCGCAAACTTAAATGGAAGTAAGAAGCCGAAGCGAATGCAAAATAGAAACATCGTCAGTATGTTTATAGTTATTGTATGAATATTTTCTAGAATTGTCTCCAAATATTGACTGGCGTTGATTGGATAAGAATTAGCTTATCAGCGCACGGCCAACACAGTCATGGTTTACTCGATCTATGTCCTGCTAAGACCTCCCCTTTGAGCAGATTCGTAGGATCTGATGCTAGAGTCCAACTGCTTCCTGGGTGCCTTGCCACCAATACTCCTACGAGCCGCCAGCTTTGTAGCAGTCTTAAGTGTGAACAACCGTCTTTGTGCCTCATGATGTCGGTTAGACTGCTTCCCCATCGACAAGTTTCGTTGAGGCACAAGAGCAGCACATGGTACAGGACATCTTGGACGTGAAATTTGTTCGGCATCTGATTTTACTGGTAAGTGAGCTTCCATCTTAGTACAGTGGCCAAGACTATTCTGAAATACAGAGGCTGACTTTCTCTTCAGTTTTTCTTGTGACCTTTTACCTGTCTTCTTTCTAAGTACTGGGGTGTCCAATGATGCACACGATATTTTGCAGACACTGTTAATAGGGAATTCCATTATCCCAAGTTTTTCTAGCATATTTAGACCAAGAAGATCAAGGTTTGACCGTTCTTTCAGATAACATATTCCTGTACATTTTGTTCCATATGAGAAAAATTCACACTAACTCACCAACCAGTTTTAACACACCACCTGAAGTGCTTCTAGCCGTTTTCTTCATTCACAGTTTTCGCAGCCCAGAAACTAACTTGAGAATAGAAAGTTTCGTACTTAGGTAAGCAGAGTGCACGCAGCTGTCGAGTATCCACATCGGGAGTCTCACTGTGAACCATCCTGGACCCACTTCTCTTCCTGATATTTATTAACGACCTGTTAGGCTTGGTTAACTCTCCGACATTGATCGGTGCAGACGATTCGAAGATCTAGCGGTGCATTAGAAGCGAGGAGGATTCGAGTGAGCTTCAAATATACCTTACATCTATGGAGAAATGGGCAGTGAAAAACGGTTTAAAACTCAACCAACCGAAGTGCCACGTCATGTATTCCCTGCCCCATATGACGCAAACCAACTATACCCTAAATGGAAGTCGGCTCCCTAATGTTTCCTCAGAGCGCGATCTCGGTTTAATAACCACAGAAATCCTCCACACGAATCCAAACTATGTAGGGGATGCAGACAAGGCAAATGCGACTCTTCACCTTTTGCGAAGACAACTTAGTGCTCTCACCCCGAAATTGTTTTTAAGCCTGTTGAAGACGTACGCGCGCCCACACTTGCGAGTTCACAACGTCATCGCACCCCTTCTGCTTAACAGAGACATAAATTTCTTGGATCGAGTGCAGAGGCGAGCAACTAAATGGGTGATAGGATTAAAATATAAACCCTACGACGATAGACTCCAGCTTTTGGGATTATTTCTACTGAGCTACAGGAGAATCAGAGTAAATCTGATATGTCGTACACCATATTAAACACACCAAACCTTCCCAACGTGAGCATCTTACCGATGCATCACCACCACTCCCCTCGAAGCAATCCTCGAATGATTGCACACCAAAGAGCAAATACTCAGATTCGTGCACACTTTTTCTCATTGCGAGTAGTCGCAACTTGGAATGCTCTCCCAGCAAAGGTAACCACAGACCCTCAGTGGACTTCTTTAAGAAGAGACTTGATAATCACGTACTCACATACGAACTATCATCACCCTCTTGGACAAGCTGTTCATGATGCATATATTGAGACCTGCTAGTTGTTATCATTGCCATCTCCTCAGATCACTCAATTAATCTATCTCGCCTCTCTTGTCTTTTCCCTTCCCCTTGCTTAAATTACGGTCCTCTCTCAGAATCTTCACTAACAATTAACAAACTAAATTCATCTATATATTACTCAGTTCTGAAATTTTATGCATATTAGCATTAGAATTTCATCCTCATTATCCTTATTACTCTACACATTGCAACTAACTGATCTCCGGTCTGGTAATGTAACGGCTGCTGGCATTTAAGAACCCTACTGCCCTGAAAAAAACGTTTTCGTTCAATTCACGTGACACACAAACTCAGAAACAACTGCCTACTGACTAGAATTAGACAGTCTATTGGCTAGACCTTCATCCATTGGACATTACCGAACACCTGTAACCGTATCGTAAGAACAAGAATCGAGAGCGAAGAAATCAAATTGGTTTACAGTAGCTCGCGAAAAAGATATTGGATATTGGATATACGTTTCTCGAAACACTAAGGTGACATCTGATGCCGTGTCGGTTTGAAAACGAGCTGATGTTCCGTTCACATAGATAGTAACATACTTTCTCCGAACGTCATAGTCTGTTTGGAAAGCAGCTACCAGAGAAAGAGATTTTGACTCGGCTAATTTCACCACATGTCGAGTACGTTTGTGCTTCTTCTTGGGCTGAGACGTACGATTTGGTTGACAATGGCCTTCCTTATGTACACGTTTATGGCACATCTGACATTTCTGTTTTTTAAATGGACAGAATCGTACATAATGCCAATCCCCGCATAACCAACATGCCGTCGTTGGTTTGTTACAAGATGTTTTCGGCTTCTGGACTTTTAACCTAGTAATAGCATTGACACTACTGCTGGTTAAATTGGGTATTACCTGTTCAATCAACATGTTGTCGTGCCTGATACTTTGTAGGCGTTTACACTCATCTGTCAATGTTCTGAGTGTGACGTTAGGGTCTTGGTCCATTCGAATCAAAAGTCTAGTTCTGGTTTCAGCATCTTGCGGTGACTGAAGAGCGTTGATGGATAATAAGCATTTAAACTGGTTTTCTGTCAACGAGCGTAACTTGAACCGTTCACATTCTCTGTTGACGACGTCTGCAAGAACCGCATATTCATCATCTTTGTGTTTCACCAGATTTAGACACTGATATCTAATACTAAACAATGGTGCTGATTCGCCGAAAATCTCTGACAGCTGAATTACTGTCTCCTCGAAACTGAGCTCTCGAGGTAACTTCGGTAGTATGTGGTCAGCGTAACGTGCATACTCATTACTTCCCAACATACGCAGCAACAATCGAGTCTTCCATGCATCATCTTGTTTAACGAATTCAATTCTAAATGTATCTTCCCAACGTTTGAACCACGTATTTTCACCTTCGGGATAAAGGATGAATTCTGGTATGCATTGGATTCTAGCTGTAAACCAGAATTCATCTTTAATCCCGAAGGTGGAAATACGTGGTTCAAACGTTGGGAAGATACATTTAGAATTGAATTCGTTAAACAAGATGATGCATGGAAGACTCGATTGTTGCTGCGTATGTTGGGAAGTAATGAGTATGCACGTTACGCTGACCACATACTACCGAAGTTACCTCGAGAGCTCAGTTTCGAGGAGACAGTAATTCAGCTGTCAGAGATTTTCGGCGAATCAGCACCATTGTTTAGTATTAGATATCAGTGTCTAAATCTGGTGAAACACAAAGATGATGAATATGCGGTTCTTGCAGACGTCGTCAACAGAGAATGTGAACGGTTCAAGTTACGCTCGTTGACAGAAAACCAGTTTAAATGCTTATTATCCATCAACGCTCTTCAGTCACCGCAAGATGCTGAAACCAGAACTAGACTTTTGATTCGAATGGACCAAGACCCTAACGTCACACTCAGAACATTGACAGATGAGTGTAAACGCCTACAAAGTATCAGGCACGACAACATGTTGATTGAACAGGTAAATCCCAATTTAACCAGCAGTAGTGTCAATGCTATTACTAGGTTAAAAGTCCAGAAGCCGAAAACATCTTGTAACAAACCAACGACGGCATGTTGGTTATGCGGGGATTGGCATTATGTACGATTCTGTCCATTTAAAAAACAGAAATGTCAGATGTGCCATAAACGTGTACATAAGGAAGGCCATTGTCAACCAAATCGTACGTCTCAGCCCAAGAAGAAGCACAAACGTACTCGACATGTGGTGAAATTAGCCGAGTCAAAATCTCTTTCTCTGGTAGCTGCTTTCCAAACAGACTATGACGTTCGGAGAAAGTATGTTACTATCTATGTGAACGGAACATCAGCTCGTTTTCAAACCGACACGGCATCAGATGTCACCTTAGTGTTTCGAGAAACGTATGTCTTCCTGGGGAAACCGTCTATGAGAAAAATGGCTAGAAGCGCTTCAGGTGGTGTGTTAAAACTGGTTGGTGGGTTAGTGTGAATTTTTCTTATATGGAACAAAATGTACAGGAATATGTTATCTGACAGAACGGTCAAACCTTGATCTTCTTGGTGTAGATAAGCTAGAAAAACTTGGGATAATGGATTTACCTATTAACAGTGTCTGCAAAATATCGTGTGCATCATTGGACGACACCCCAATACTTAGAAAGAAGACAGGTAAAAGGTCACAAGAAAAACGGAAGAGAAAGTCAGCCTCTGTATTTCAGAATAGCCTTGGCCACTGTACCAAGATGGAAGCTCACTTACCAGTAAAATCAGATGCTGAACAAATTTCACATCCAAGACGTCCTGTACCATGTGCTGCTCTTGAGCCTCAACGAAACTTAACGATGGCGAAGCAGTCCAACCGACATCATGAGGCACAAAGACGGTTGTTCACACTTAAGACTGCTACAAAGCTGGCGGCTCGTAGGAGTATTGGTGGCAAGGCACTCAGGAAGCAGTTGGACTCTAGCATCAGATCCTACGAATCTGCTCAAAGGGGAGGTCTTAGCAGGACATAGATCGAGTAAACCATGACTGTGTTGGCCGTGCGCTGATAAGCTAATTCTTCTCCAATCAACGCTAGTCAATATTTGGAGACAATTCTAAAAAATGTTCATACAATAACTATAAACATACTGACGTTTCTATTTTTCATTCGCTTCGGCTTCTTACTTCCATTTAAGTTTGCGATTTGGAATATAATCTTTTCCTGTTCAAGTGTGTTGTGATTTGGGGACTTGTCGAATTTATTGTTGTATAGCAATCGGAATAACTGGGTTTATTAAGAAAGATTTATAACGCAGAGAGTCTTGCATTGTTTCATGTGCATATTGACGCGTACTACTTCACAGGCTGTTGTTTTACTCGTCGTCTTCTCCTGCATTTGTTGTTGCGTTTAGGATAGAAGAGTTGGATCACCCTCCATGTCCAGGTGTAATCTGGCTGTCCACTGTATCATGTGCTTCGTTCCAGATGTTGAAGTGTTCATAATCCAGTCGATTATCAGGAGACAGGGTGAGAGTAAGCAACATTGTCTGACATTAGTGTCTACTTGGAAGGAGTCTGTGAGCTGTCCTACATGCACGATTTTGCAGTGTAGTTTATCGTAAGCATTCCGTTGACTTGAACTGGTTAAGATATGTGTTGTGTGCATCCCAGATATTATTGAGAGGTAGGTAGGTTAGAAAGAAGTTGAAGGCCGTCGAACGTAATTTGTGGTGTTAATTCATGGAGTTATTGACAACATTGTTCTGAGCCATGTTGTCAGATAGTAAGTAGACTAGACTACCTAGAATTATAGAGTTGTCCATGTCCAACACTTCTTCATCTTTCTTATCACTTAATACAATTACAACTTTTACTAATCTGAAATTAGTCTTGTTAGCTTCAACTCGTTTTAATAATATACCGGGTGCTGTGTCGAACATGGTGAACATTGTTATGCAAATATGCATAATGTTGATATCTCAATGTTAATGCGTTTAAGGAGAAAAAGCCCTAGTGCTCTGGTACGACTCAGTTGAGAGAGAGTTCTCTGTCGAAATGCTCTCATACGGCTATGCGTATGGGTAGTTCTACTCACTGCCTTTTCGTAGCAAGATTTTTGTTTATGAGACTTTAAGCACGGTAAAAGATCGATCGCGAACAGCCTGATTCCAAATCAATAATGCACAGGTTCCTGACAGAAGAAATAATATATAAACTTAATTTTGTTCACCGGCCACAACATAGAACTGTATCTCCTGACGTTGCTGCACTGTGCTGTGGATAAGTATTTCTCAGGAAACGTACCAACCTGAGTTTGTTGGTCACCGGTACATTATCCCATCCTATTCACAAATTTGTATGACGTAGGAATATTTAGTTACTTCTGTGTTTGCAATATTTATATGCGGAGATAAAGGAGAATGGTTGGCTGTCCAACACAATGGTCAACCACTTTGCTCAATTAAAACACTAACTGGAACATAACATTCAAACTTCGTCCTGATTGGTTAATCCCTATCCAATCAACGCTAGTCGATGTTTGGAGACTATTCTAGAAAATGTTCATATAATAACTCTAAAGATACTGACGTTGTTTCTATTGTGCATTTGGTTCGGCTTCTTACTTCCATTTAAGTTTGCGATTTGGAATATAATCTTTTCCTGTTCAAACGTGTTCTGATTTGGTGACTTGTCGAGTGTATTGTTGTCAGAGAATACTAAGCAATGGGAATAGATGGGTTTATCAAGAGGGATTTACAACAATTCAACTTTGAGACAGCATATACCAACAAAATCATATTTGACTTAGTCGCCTCGTAGTAGCCTCATTTATGAGCAAGGTAAATTAGACGCAGATATGAAGGCAAGGATTAGCAAAGCAAGAACAGCATTACTATATAATTAACGAGCATCTGTAACTCAAAACAACCATCATTAAAGTTAGAATTCACAATACAAACGTCAAAACACCTCTAATGCATAAAGCGAACACTTGGACAACCACGACAGCCACCATCTCCCGGAAGATATGAGCGTTTATTTTCTGTGCAAGAGACTCAGAATATATTGTCCAGAAGTAGAACAAACTAAATTCTAACAGACGAAGAAATCAGGAAAAAGAGTTGGAAGTGGATAAGACACACATTGAGGAAATTACACAACTGTATCACAAGAAAAGTTCTCACTTGGAATCCTTTAAGGTCAAAGTAAGAGAGGGAGAAGAAAAAACACATTAAGCCCGTTATGATTCTCTCTTTATATTACAACTCAGCTATTCCTAATGCTTAGTATTCTCTGACAACAATCGACTCGACAAATCTCCAAATCGGAACACGCTTGAACAGGAAAAGATTATATTCCAAATAGCAAAGTTAAGCGGAAGTAAGAAGTCGAAGCGAAGGCGAAATAGCAACACTGTTAGCATCGCTATAATTTTTACATGAGAAGCTTCTGTAATGTGTTCCAAGTATAGACCAGGCGCAGCTAACTCAGTCATGCTTTAATCCATCTATGTCCTGCTAACAAAGACGAAAAATGGACACAGACATCAGTAGGATGAACAACTATATGACAGAACTGGAGAATGAAGCCTCAAGAAAGAGTAGGTAGGAGTATACTGGTCAGCGACCTATGTTTCATTGGGGGTAACAGTCGTAAGTCAATTAATTGATGCATTAAATCAAATCATTTGTGGTTCTTACATTCTTAAGTGCATACATTTTATGGTGATGAACTACTCTTAGATATAATTGGATTAATTACTACGATTCAACAAGAATTTCCATTCTTAATGTCACTTATTTTTAACGGAAACATGTAATGCATATCATATTACTTAGACGTCAGTGATTACGGAATATAGGACCTTGTCAATGAACTAGCCAGTTGAGACAGTCAACTTTTCGTTAAGAGTAGAGGACATTTGTAGTTTGCTAGTCTTTGATCACCGGTGTCTCCGAAGCCTTGTTCGCGTATCATGGGACGACCGAGCAAGCAATGCTATCGTTAGGAAACGAGTTCTAGGTAAGGATGGCAAATCAATAGATGCATTAAAACTTCATCAGTTGAAGTGATTGGGACATCTGTTGCATATGGCTAACCACCGACTGCCTCGACGAGCTATGTTTTGTGGTGTAGGAGTAGGTTTGAAGATAGCTAGGGGCGGCCAGACCAAAACATGGCAGAAATCTATGAAGTCACTGACAAGTGGACTGAGTTATGTTGGTAGATGTAGACTACCTGGTTGGGGTCCGCGAGACGAGACCTTGCATAACATGGCTCAAAATCGTTTGCAATGGCGCAGGTGCATCTACTCTGTGTGCTTTTTAATTCTAACCTTCTGAATTCCTCATAATCTCTACCTTTCTCCTTCTAAATTTATCTTACTAAATTATACTTCTCGAATCATATCTTTGCTCCCTAATATTCTCCATTGCTGCTAATAATATTCTACTATCGTTATCACTCTTAGATTTGAACTGACAGTTACGTCTCTGTGTGCTGACGTGGTATGGCAACCTAAACTGATGTACTTATGTACGAAGTTCTGCGTTGTATCTGTCTGTTTATCTGACAGTCAACTTCACATCAGCAAGCTGTGTTGGTTTAAACCGCATTCCATCAAAGTTGATTTAGGCAATCAGACAAACAAACTACCTAATCTTCATTTAATGAAAGTGTATAACTCACTCACAACGAGGGAACAAACGCCCAGGACAGTGTAGTAAGTCACCAGTCAACTATGGGGTGTAGGATTTGATTCTGACCAATTTGGTCTCGCGTGTTGTTACGGGTATGAGGGCGGTTGTCACTTCCACACACCGTGGAAAGTTGTTTCTTGAGGAACCTGAAAAGGAAAATAGATTAATATTGGTCTTAGAGACCTGGGTGCGTGACCGCAGAGCCCAAGGCACAACTGCTTGAGGCCGGTCACGCACGGCCTTGTTATGAAAGGTTTTTTGAGTATTAGCTCCGCTCTTAAAAACCCTTTGTAGGCATCCTTACCCAAGGAGACGGAAATCCATGAGGTATTGGAGGTGTGACATTTTTAGGGTCGACCTTTTCTAACCCTTCCTTCCTTGTGAGAAGGCAGTATCGCTGCAGATGCTGGTTGTTGTCCAAGGGAAACACCTTACTGCTGTCACACCCCTCCATCACAGTCAGCAGTACGACTTCGCCCTCACACCTTCGGTAGCTACTTTTACTCTCATCGTTCTCCAATCGACCAGCCTGGCATGGTAGTAGAACCTTCAGGAGCATATGTTCCAGCCAATATAGCGCTCGGTTGGGTCATCACGATAGTCAAGCCCGACCACTGCCCCGTCAAAGTAGCAGCTACGGTCGGGACAGTGTAACCACTTACTTACAGTGTAGTAAGTAGGTTTAAAAAAAAAAAGAAAACTCCACAATCAACTCATTTGACATTTGAACTACCAATAAAACCAATAAAAAATTAACAATATATATTTAATAAAAATTATTTTTTTACTTAAAAAAATAAAACAAACTTGATTTACATTCACATGATTAAATAATATATTTAAATTTATTTATTTATATAAATGTTATTGCTTTTAATTTAATTTAATTTTTATTTAGGTTTTATTCGACTACTTATTTTCTGTTACATAAACACAAGATGATGATGAAATGCTCTCAAAAGTCGATACAAATAGTTAAAATAATAATAATAATAATAATAATAATAATAATAATAATAATAATAATAATAGTAATAATAATAATAACTTCAAAATCTAGGTAGTTAAAAAAATAAACTATGTACAACAAATATTTTAGACAGATATATATATATATATATATATATATATATAGAGTGAGAAAGTATTATCATCCAGGAAAATAATTTTGATAGATTGCTCCTTGTGTATGTCGTTTATCTTCTGATGGAATGTAATAACTAATTGAACGATTGTGTTGTGATTGGTTTATTGTATTATAACTGCTACTACTATTATTATTACTACTACTAGCCAGTGGCAACTCTTCATGATACGGATGATGACGATGACGTTGGCGTTGATGATGATGATGTTGACGTTGTAAATCATATGGATGTGAATGATGATGAGATTGATAGTCTGGATAGCAGGTAGCAGGTGCTGGATACTGTGGTGGAAGAGTTGATTGTTGTTGTTGTTGTTGTAGTTGTCGGTGGTGGTAGTGATCATAATAAGGTTGCTGTTCTTGTTGTTCAGCTTGACCAACTGGAATGAATCAATTAAACGATAGGAATAGGAACGAAATACATGATTAATTATTCTTCAGTGAGTACATGGATTTATAGCATATATATACATATATACATATATATAATATGAATTTTCAATGCAAATGTCAAGACAGTTCTACTGTATGTGGCGGATCCGTTGGCCAGACACCATCAGCAACAACCTATTGTGGGAGAGGACAAACCAGTCAGTCAGTTGCAACGTAGCACTTCGTACGTATGTACATAAGTTCATGTTGCCATACCACATTAGCACAGAGACGCAAATATCAAATCAAATCCCATAGTGATAGAGATAGTAGAGGTATTAATGGTAATGAAGAAGACTAGGGTTTGAAGATATTATTCAAGAAGTATAATTCAGTGAGATAAGTTTAGAAAGACACAGGTGGAGATGTTGACGAATCCAGAAGATTAGGATTTGAGAGAGCTCAACGAATGGATGCACTTGCGCCATTGTAAACGGTTTTGAGTCATGTCGTTCAAGGTCTCTAACCATTGGTGACTTTCGTCTCGCGGACCCCAACCAGGTAGTCTACATCTACCAACATGACTCAGTCCACTTGTCAATGACTTCATGGATTTCTGCCACGTTTTGGTTTGGCCGCCCCTAAATTTCTTCCAACCTACACCTACACCACAAAACATAGTTCGTCGAGGCAGTCGGTGATGGTGAAGTTTCATTACTTCATCTATTGATCTGCCATCCTTACCTAGCACCCGTTTCCTAATAACAGCATTGCTTACTCGGTCGTCCCAGGCCATGTTTGACAGCAATAAAGTAAGACGGAGAGAACTACTGCACAGTATACTCGTCCTTTAGTCAGCAGACGTATATCTTGCCTACGCCATAAGTGACGCAGGTTGGCAAAAGCTAATCGAGCCTTCTGTATCCGTGTTGAGATTTCGTCAGTCACCAGGCCATCGGCATCGATGAGACTCCCAAGATAAGTGGAGCGGTCTACAGGCTCAACTACTTCACTCCCTATCACTAGTTTAGGTGCCGATGTAACCCAATCTTGAAACAACATTTTGCATTTCGAGGGTGAGAACCGCATCCCGAACATGCTTGCATTGTTGCTTAAGGTAGTCAGAAGTCTTTCCATCTTGTCAGCGTCCTCACCAAGTAAGACTATGTCATCGGCATATTCTATGTCAATAAGCGAGCCTCCTGGTAAGAGGTCTAATCCTGAAAATTCAGACGAGCATGTCTATGATAAAATTAAACAAGAATGAAGAGAGTGAACATCCCTTACGCACACCACTTGATGTGGACAGCGAAGGAGGAAATCAGGAAGAAATGCTGGAAGTGGGTAGGAGACACATTAGGGAAAGCACAGAACTGCTTCATAAGACAAGCCCTCACCTGGAATCCTAAAGGCCAAGGAACACATTACGCGGACAAGTGGAGACAGAAATGAGAAGAATGAACAAGAAATTGGACAGAACTAGAAAGGAAGGCCCAGGAAAGAGTAGGTTAGAGAATACTAGTCTGCGGCTTATGCTCTATTGGAGGGTAACAGGTGTAAGTAAGTAAGTAAGTAATCTTTAGGAGGTTTATGGAAATTTTGTTGGTTATAATATCACAAACAGATATGAATTAGGAGACCAGTGAAAACCAAGGTGTTGGATAACTATTTTTTTGTTCTAGTATGAGACTTCTAAACACCGAACACTCATGAACTAACTAGCCAGCGATCTAACTCACGACCTTCAAGTATTGTGGTGAGGTGGTAGGTAGTAAATAGTAGTGAAAGATACTTGATCTATATCGCAAACTGATCAATTGATATTCTGTGATGTTTTACTTTCCAGCTGTGAAGCCTTCACAGAAATATATGGAAGTCCAAAAAAAGGCGATATATATAATATCAATAGGAAAGATCGAGATATACCACAGAATGACATAAATAATAGTACAATACTGTTGTGCGCATTATTCTAGCGTTCTATTTGTTCCTAGCCAAATTAATTCTCAGTGTGTGTTGAGAAAACTTCGCCTTGAGCCCCTCTGGAGCTACTGCCCGCCCCAAGCCCTGATAAAGCAGGAGCAGGAGGCTTGGGAGTGCGGTTTGCGATCCGATTTCGTAAAATAATAACTCGCTAAAAAACGCTAGCCAGAAAAATACTTCGAGAAGCATACAATGCTCACTGTTAGTTATTTTATAACTAATTGTAGTTATACCATAACTAACCAATCAAATTGTGGTTTAAGCGCCCAGCACGTGATCTGATCTGACGTGTCTGTAAGCCTTCTTCATTGTAGTAAATGACCTACAAATTGATCCTGGAGGGGGTATATGGAAACATATCATAAAGTCAATGAGAAGGAATTCACAACATGGAGACTCAGTGTTAGTAAACAATACTGGCTTGTTGAGAAATCTGTGGGCGAAAGCTATAGTTATACAGGTCAATTGTGCTACAGATGGCCGAGTCAGGTATGGGACTGGCTAGCAATCAGACTGGACTAGCTCATCAATAGTGCGTATCCACGACTCTTGAACCTTGCAGGATTCGAATTCAAGACCTTCGGTCTTGCATGTGAACACCTAACCTCTGGGCCGGCACCCAATAGTGTTAGTGTCTAACTCTGATCAATCTAGAGATTTTGCGCAACCTCACCCACTTGTCTTTGGTAGGTTACTGCCTACAACCGACAGGATTGAACTCCACACTGGTCAAAAGTCTTCTCAACTAGAACAGTGTGTCATCAAGTTGCCTATTTTGCATTCACAATAATAATTTCACTAACTTACATGCAAACGATATTAATTCTTGATATTGTGTTGGTTTTAATTTGAGCGCTTTCTCTGCCATTCTACTATCCATTACACGACAATTATTGATTTTCTCTGTCCATTTTTGACGTAAATCCAGTAGCTTGTCATTTAATTGTTGACGTATTGATTTAATTCGTACAGCACCTGTAGGTGTTGGCCATGTTGACCAAAGTGTCACAGCTTCTTGATAATATAATTTCAATTGCAGAGCTTCATCATCTAACCATGGAGCTGATGATAATTAGCAGTGATATTATTTTTTGAATAAATAGAAACGAGAAATACAGTACAATGTAAGATTACGTTAATTACATGATACGATACTTGGAAACAATGTAAGCAATATCGATTCATTGAATTATATATAAAGAATATTAGGGGTTCGAAGATATTATTCAACAAGTATAATCCAGTGAAATCAACTTAAAAAAGGAGGAGAAAGGTGATGACAGACAGACAGATAGACAGTTGCAACTTAGAACTACGCACGTATGTACATAAGTTCATGTTGCCATACCACATTAGCACAAGGACGCAGATGTCAAATCAAATCCCATAGTGATAAAGATAGTAGAGATATTAATGGTAATGAAGAAGACTAGGGTTCGAAGATATTATTCAAGAAGTATAATTAAGTGAAATAAGGTTAAGAGACAAAGGTAGAGGTGCTGACGATTCCAGAAGATTAGGATTTGAGAGAGCTCAAAGAATGGATGCACCTGTGACATTGCAGACGATTTTGAGCTATGTCATTCAAGGTCTCTAAGCATCGGTTAGTATCCTGTCGTGAATTCCAACCAGGTAGTCTACACTAACCAACATGACTCAATGACTTTGAATGACATGGCTCAAAATCGTTCGCAATGGCGCCGGTGCATTTATTCTCTGTGTTCTCTCAAATCCTAATCTTCTGGATTCTTCAACACCTCTAGTTTCGACTCTCTAAACTTTTCTCACTGAGTCATACTTCTTGAATAGTATCTTCTAATCTTAACCTCTCCGATTACTTCTAATTCCCTTACTACCTCTTCTTCTATTGGATTTGAATTGACGATTACTTCTCTGTGCTGATGTGGTATGGCAACATGAACTGATGTACTTATGTACAAAGTTCTACGTTGCATCTGACTGACTGACTGAACATGACTCAATCCACTTGTCAGTGACTGCATGGATTGCTGCCATGTTTTGGTCTGGCCGCCTCTAACTTCCTTCCAACCTACTCCTACACTACAAAACATAGCTCGTCGCGGTAGTCGGCGGTTAGGCATACGATCACATGTCCCAACCACCTCAACTGATGAAGTTTCATTACTTCATCTATTGACCTGCCATCCCTACCAAGCACTTATTTCCTAATAACAGCATTGCTTACTCGATAGTCCCAAGATATACGAGCAATGCTTCGGAGACACCTACGATAGAATACTAATAACCTACGAATATTCGTTATTCTTACAGGCTATTTTTCAAACCCATAGATGAGGACAGAGTGAAATGCTACGCAGTCAACCAGTGCTTTGTTTGGTAGACAGATATCGGATATATTGGATATTGGCAAAAGCCAATCGAGCCTTCTGTATCCGCTCTGAGATTTCGTCAGTAAACAGGCCATCAGCAGTGATGAGACACCCAAGATAGGTAAAGCGGTCAACATGCTCGACTATCACTAGTTCACATGCTGACGCAAACCAATCTTGAAACAACATTCTGCATTTCGAGGGTGAGAACCGCATCCCAAACATGCTTGCATTGTTGCTTAGGGTAGTCAGAAGAATCTGCATTTTGTCAGCACCAAGTAGAACTATGTCATCGGCATACTCTAAGTCAACCAATCAATCTTCTTGGTAGAAGGTCTACTCCTGAAAATTCTGACGAGGATTATGTTAACTCTAAAAGCATGTCTATAAGACGAAGTTAAACAAGAATGAAGAGAGTGGACAGCCCTGACGGACGCCACTTGAAGTAGAGAATTCCGATAGCAGTTCGCCATAGGCTCTCACACGACCAGTGGTGTTCGAGTAGACATCCTGTATGAGGTTAATGTACTTCTCTGGTACAGCTTTTGATGACAGACACTGTCACAGAACCTCACGATCGGCAGCGTTCAGAGAATAAATACATGAAGACTATGTATACAATGTGGTAAACTAAATTTGATATCAGCGATAAACTATATATAAACATTATTGAGAAAGGATTCTAAAAGGAGGTGAGAAACTTCGACAAGTTAACTGGTAGACATTGGTTTAAAAGATAAATACAACTTTCAGGTTTTAATTATTTATTTAACACACAAATATCATTACAAAATTGTTCAACACAAATATATGAACTTGTCAGCGGGTCCTGATACTGAACGGGTTCCCAAACCGATATAGGCAGTGCTCTTAGGCGGGTTATTCCTGAAACCTTTGATCTACATGTCTAATCCATAAGATGATGAGTGGAACGACGTAAGGAAATGTAGTCTCATGGTAGCCAATCATCATCAACAATAGATTTATGCGCTATTCATTCTATCAGGATTCAGAGGCTCATGTACATCAATAGTTTGGTACTGGGGTTTTCCAACTGATCTAAACAAACAAACGGATTCTTTGTACCTATCAACCTAGTTTATGCATTGGATTTTCGTTTGCTCAATTTCATAAACAACATCTCTGTCATGAGAAGGTAGTGAGTAGGACTTGTCTGGCAGTCGATATTACACGCAAAGTCATGTGACAACATATACAGTGTGTGTGTGAAAACTCCTCACCTTCGACTGTATCATGCATGACATTGAAGAGTTCAAAATCACGTAATTTTTTTTAAAAAAAAACATATAATTCATAATTTTGTAAACTTACCATCAATGACATTTCTTAGATTACGACTATCCTCTAATAAACCTGTATCCATCATACGTTGTCGAACACTATTATACAATTGTGATATGCCAGAAACTTCAAGTTTCGAAGCCTCTTGAATTACAAAATTAACTCTAAACAAAAACAAGATCAAAATGAAAACAATTAATATGTATTAGTGATAAGGAGTGAAGTAGTCGAATGTGTAGACCACTTCACTTTATCTTGGGAGTCTCATCAGTGCTGATAGCCTGGTAACTGACGAAATCTCAGCTGGGATACAGAAGCCTCGATTGGCTTTTGCCAACTTGCGTCACTTAAGGCGTAGGCGTGATATCCGTTTGCTGACTAAAGGATGAGTGTACTGTGTGCAGCAGTTCGCTCCGTCTTACTTTATGGCTGTGAAACATGGCCGTTAAGAGTAGAAGATATTCGTAGGTTACTGGTTTTCGATCATAGGTGTCTTCGAAGCATTGCTCGTATACCGTGGGATAACCGAGTGAGCAATGCTGTCGTTAGGAAACGAGTACTAGGTACGAATGGCAGATCAATCGATGAAGTGGTGAAACTTCATCAGTTGAGGTGGTTGGGACATGTCTTGCGTATGCCTAACCACCGACTGCCTCGAAGAGCTATGTTTTGTAGTGTAGGAGTAGGTTGGAAGAAAGCTAGGGGTGGCCAGACCAAAATATGGCACAAACCCATGAAGTCACTGACGAGTGGACTTAGCCATGTTGGTAATTGTCGACTACCTGGTTGGGGTCCGCGAGATGATAATAATAGATGGCTAGAGACCTTGAATGACATGGGTCAAAATCTTTCGCAATGGCACCGGTGCATTTATTCTTTGTGTTCTCTCAATTCCTAGTATTCTGGATTCTTCAACACCTCTAGTTTTGACTTTCTAAACTTATCTCACTGAATCATACTTTTTGAATATCTTGTAATCCTAACCTCTCCGATTACTTCTAATACCTTTACTACCTCTTCTACTATTGGATTTGAATTGACAACTACATCTCTGTGCTGATGTGGTATGGCAACATGAACTGATGTACTTACGTACGAAGTTCTACGTTGCATCTGACTGACTGACTGACTGACTAATATGTAGTAGTTAGTTATTGAATAAAGGAAAATTGATAGCTTTCCAATTTGTCTGGAATCATTTTCAACAGTTAATAAAACTTACCTAGACGAGTATGACTTTTTAACGTCTTCGTGTGACTTTTGATTGTCATCAGATGACTTTTTGTTGTCATCCGATGACATGTTATCTGCAAAATGTGAAAAGATAGAAATACACTAAGTGCTTGCTTGTTAATTAACATTGAAATAAATAAAATTCTCTTTAGAAATTAGCAAAATAATAAACCTTGTTAAAATAGTTCATTCAATTTCGTTTTGTTGAGATGTTTTTCTAACGAGTTGGCTTTCTACCGGACGAGGACGCTAATCCAGGGATTGGGACCGATGGTAACATCAGAAGAGTTGCAGGCGGAGTTACAAGTAACAAAAGAAGAAATCAGTCAGTCAGGGAATGATAGATGTAGTGTGCTATTACGAGTATGAGGGCAGATGTCACTTCTCGGCTGCCCACATCATGGAAGAGTAATTCATGCGGAACATGAAAAAGAAGTTAGATTAGTGTTGGTCTTAGAGACCTGTGGCGTGAATGAAGAGCCCAAGGGACAACCGCTTGATGGCGGTCACACATGGCCTCTGTATGGGAAGATTGTTTAGGGTTAACTCCACTCTTCAAATGGCCTTACCACCGGAGATGGATATCTGTGAGATAAGGTGAGATGTGACATTTTTAAGGTAGACCTTTCCTAACCCGTTTCTTCTTTCCTTGTGAGAAGGCAGAATCATTGCAGATGCTGGTTGTCCGAGGGAAACACCTTACTGCTGTCACACCCCTCTAGAGTCAAAAGAGGAAATAATAATCTTTCTTAAAATAATTCATTCAACTTCGTTTTGTTTAGACTCATTTAGTTTATTTGTCATATCAAACGTTTGGTACGATGAAGAATAAAGAACAGTGCAGAGAAATGACATAATAGTGAAGTAATACAAGAGGAAAATAAAATAGCGGTTGAGATAGAAAAAATATGATTTATAGAAGGGTGGTATCACGATACATTGCATTGACTTCACTGTTTAAAAAGAACACTAACAGACAAAACAGTATAATATTCGACTCGACGATGAGCTGCTGCTATGCGAGCACAAAACCATAGAGATGTGCAGCATCTGATAATGTGATGTTACCAGGATAGATCATGATAGAGTGTGGCTAAATCGAATAATATATGTTTTTACTATATTTTAGATTATGACTAACATGCAGTCCAACACAAAACAGAGAAATTGTGAAATGAACTTTTTTATAAACATTCAGGCAAATGGCTTGTATGACATAAGCCATGAATATCAGTTAGAGTGATATATCTTGACTTCTCAAAAGCTTATGATAAGGTCAATCATATATATCTCACGAATAAGCTCAAACCGTTAGGTATCAATTCACCTTTTATAGACACGTTAACTTCATATATAAATAGTTGACTGTCAAGGTTAGGGTCAACTTTAATTCTTCTCAGGCTACAGAATGTCTTGATGGAGTCTTTCAGGCTTCAATACTAGGACCACTTCTCTACTTAATTTATATCAATGATCTTTCTCAACAGGTATCGTCTGAGTTATTAACTCTCACTGACAATGTTAAACTTTGAAGAGAAAATTGCAGTCAAGACAATAAGTTGGCTCTTCGGCAGGACCCGATCCAGATCCAAAGTTTGGCGATTGACAAAACGGACTTACTTCTCATACATAAAAGTGAAAAAGGCATGCCTAAGACTTTGCAAACGACTTAGGTATCTCTTCTCTAGAGGTCTACTAAGTTGAAAAGGATCCAGGAGTACTTTTACATTTTGATCTTACGTCTCACGTTATGACAAAAATGCCTTTCAAGCAAACCTTGCACGTCAAAGTGCGTTTCCAGTCAGTTTAATAGTAAGATGTTCCACGTACTCTTTGCTTGTTTTGCTTACAGTATGGAAATATAGTTACCTCACTCATTCTTAAAGGATAAGAATACAATCAGACATATCTAATGGCGGGCCGCAAAATTAGTCCGAGAATTTAAATTCAAATCTTATAAAGAGCACTTCAAGTCACTGGATCTTTACGTTTCAGAGTATAGGTGTCCTGGATGTGATCTTTCAATGACGCATGGCGTTTTGAATACTGAGTATCCTCTAAATTACTTGCTTATGCTATGGTCGCGACGAGAAACTAAATCGAATTACGAAGAAACAAGTGGGTCCGAAACTGCAAAATGAATCGCAAGTACTTAATCTCTGGAAGCCTAATGCCTGACGGATTAAGCATAGTATAACTTTATAGTTTACTATTTTTCTCTTTTACTCGTCGAATATATCTAGGTTCGAATCTGGAGTCATCAGTAAACCATTGTTATTAGATTTGGAAGTCGTTTGAACAAAAGCTTTTTCTGTCTTCAGCCAATCTAATTTGTGCCCGAAACAGCAAAAATGTATTTCAAGTGTACTGGCTGTTGCTTTTGTTTTTCTTATTTGTTATTATCGAACTAAACAGTGAAGTACACTATTTTTAAAGCAATAATGGACTCGGAAGTGGAAGTCGCGCTGTTTTTTAAGTGACCCAAGAATTTCCGAAATGCTATTCCAGGCAACCGCTTGTATTCTCATTTGTGTCTTTACATGATGTTTTTCACCTGACAATATCAATCTCGGTTACCTCAAGTTTATTTGATATCACGTGGTTTTAGGCATAAATTACTGGCCTATTTTTAAGCATGCGTTTTATACTAGTCTCCATAACAACGAAAAAGAAAGTTCTGGGTGCCTTAATCTTCGTCATAAATTATGTTTATTTGGTAGAAAGAGATTGGTCAATTGTAAGCACTTTAGGATTAGTTGAGAAAGAGATTTTATTAATCGTCTCTTCTTGTCTAAAACATCAAGAACTGCTAAAACTAGGGCATATCATCTCGACGAGATAATTTTTCAGTGAATATACCCAATAAGTACTGAATCAGGATGACTAACTAAGTTTTACTTCTTAAAATTAAAAAAAGTCATGTCTGTGATGTAGAATAAAGCAGTAAATATTTACTAGGCTTCAGCATTTGCCTGCTACTCATATAAGAACAGATTACTACAAGAAAAGAAAGATTTATGTTCTTGATGTAAATAAAAAATTTTTCGGAACCACCTTCTTGCCAGAGTAACGCAATGATATACAAAGTAGGCAAAAACGAGCGGTTTTAATTCAATATACAATATCTTTCACGTACAACTATCTAACAATCAATATATCCAATATCCTTTTCATTAGCTAGTATAAACCAATCGATTTCTTTGCGCTCTATGCTTGTTTCTTCGGTACGGTTCCAGGTGTTCGGTGGTGTCCAATGAATGAGGGTCTAGCCACTCGACTGTCTATTTCTATTCAGTTGGCAGTTATTTATGAATGAAAACGTTTGTTTCAGGGCAGTAGGGTTCCTGGATACCAGCAGCTATCACATTACCAGACCGGAGATCAGTTACTTGCAATGTGGAGAATAGTAGGCAGAGAACTCCAATGCCAATAAGATTCCAGAACTAAGTAAATAAATGGATAATTAAATTTATTACTTAGTAGTGAATACTGTGGGACAGGACCGAAGTGTAAAAAAGGGAGAGGAAACAGAGATAACAGGCGAGATGTAATAATTGAGTTGTCTTGGGAGATAGCAATGATAACGACTAGCAGGTCTCAAGCTACGCATCAGGCACAGCTTGTCCAAGACTTACTTACTTACGCCTGTTACCCCCGATGGAGCATAGGCCGCCCACCAGTTTTCTCCAGCCAACTCTGTCCGGGGCTTCCCTTTCCATTTCTGTCCAATGTTTGTTCATTCCTCTCATATCTTTCTCTATTTCTCGGCGTAGTGTGTTCCTTGGCCTTCCTCTTTTCCTTTTGCCTTGAGGGTTCCATGTGAGGGCTTGTCTCGTGACGCAGTTGGGTGCTTTTCGTAGTGTGTGTCGTATCCACTTCCACCGCTTCTTCCTGATTTCCTCCTCCACTGGAATCTGACTTGTTCTCTCCCACAGTTCGTTGTTGCTGATGGTGTCTGGTCAACGAATACGAAGTATTTTGCGTAGGCAGCTGTTAATAAACACTTGTATCTTCTGGATGATGGCTTTCGTAGTTCTCCATGTTTCCGCTCCATACATTAGAACTGTCTTCACATTTGTATTGAAAATCCTGATTTTGGTTTTGTTTGAAAGTTGTTTGGAGTTCCAGATATTTTTCAACTGTAGAAATGCAGCCCTTGCTTTGCCAATCCGCGCCCTCACATCTGCATCAGATCCACCTTTCTCGTCGATGATGCTGCTCAGATATGTAAAGGTGTTAACGTCCTCGAAAGCATCTCCATCAAGCGTGATTTGATTGGTGCATGTTGTGCTGCATCGGAGAATTCTGCTTTTCCCTTTATGTATGTTGAAACCTACTGTTGCAGAGGCTGCTGCTACACTAGTCGTCGTCTCTTGCATTTGTTGTTGAGTGTGAGATAGAAGAGCCAGGTCATCTGCGAAGTCCAGATCGTCCAGCTGCGTCCTAACTGTCCAGTTGATACCGTGCTTCCCTCCAGACGTCGACGTTTTCATAATCCAGTCGATCACGAGGAGAAAGAGAAAGGGTGAGAGTAAGCAACCTTGCCTGACACCCGTCTTCACCTCGAAAGAGTCTGTCAGCTGACCTCCGTGCACGATTTTGCAGTTGAATCCATCATAAGAATTCCGTATGATGTTAACTATTTTCTCAGGCACACCGTAGTGTCGAAGAGGCCTCCACAGTGTTTTCCTATTCACGCTATCGAATGTCTTACCGTAGTCGATGAAGTTGATGTAGAGTGGTGAGTTCCATTCAATTGATTGTTCCACAATGATCCGTAATGTAGCAATTTGGTCAGTACATGATCGATCCTTACGAAATCCGGCCTGTTGATCTCGAAGTTGGGCGTCTACGAAGTCCTTCATTCTGTTTAACAATACTCTGTTGAAGACTTTGCCTGGTATTGAAAGAAGAGTGATGCCTCTGTAGTTCTCACACTTGCTGAGATCGCCGTTCTTTGGTATTTTGATCAGGTATCCTTCTTTCCAATCTGATGGTACTTGTTTCTCATACCAAATCTTCTTGAAGAGGTTGTAAAATATTTTCGCAGTTGCTTCTTCATCTGCTTTCATTGCCTCTGCTGGAATGTTGTCTGGTCCTACTGATTTGCCGCTCTTGATTTGTCTGATGGCCATACTGATCTCCTCAATCGTAGGTGGGCCAATATGAATTGGGAGGTCCGTGGATGCTGTTTCGATGTTGGGTGTGTTCAGTGGAGCCGGTCGATTCAGGAGTTCTTGAAAGTGCTCTACCCACCTATTTTGCTGTTCTTCAGTGTTGCTGATTACTTTGCCTTCCTTGCTTTTCACTGGTCGTTCTGGTTGACGATAATTTCCAGCGAGCTTCTTCGTTGTTTCGTACAGTTGTCTCATGTTTCCTACTCTTGCAGCCTTTTCCGCCGTCATTGCTAGATCTTCCACATATTTTCGTTTGTCAGCTCTGATGCTCTTCTTCACTTCCCTGTTTGCTTCTGTGTATTCAGCTTGTGCCTTAACTTTCGCTGCTCTTGTTCGGCTGACATTGATTGCTGCTTTCTTGTTCCTCCTTTCTTCAATTTTTGCGAGAGTATCAACAGAGATCCATTCCTTATGATGCTGCTTCTTGAGACCAAGGACCTCCTGACATGTTGAAGTGATTGCCTCCTTAATCCCTTTCCAATTGTTCTCCAATGTTGTGTCCTCTCCATTGAGTAGATCCTGAAAGGCCTGGAACCTATTGGTGAGGGCTATCCTGAATTCGTTGAGCTTTACAGTATCCCGAAGAAAGGCCGTATTAAACTTGTGTGATGTTGTCTGTCCCGTTGTCCAGTGCTTCTTTAGTTTCAGTTTCATTTTGGCGATTAGCAAATGGTGATCTGAGGCTACATCAGCTCCTCTCTTCGTTCTCACATCCTCCATAGTCCTTCTGAACGTTTTGTTGATACAGATATGATCAATCTGGTTCTGAGTAGTGTGGTCCTGGTGAAATCCATGTAGCTTTGTGTATGCGTTTGTGCGGGAATATCGTGCCACCGATGACCAGTTTGTTGAAGGCACATAGGTTTGCAAATCTCTCACCGTTTTCGTTTCTTTCTCCCAGTCCATGTCGTCCCATGATGTCTTCATATCCAGTGTTGTCCATTCCAACCTTGGCATTCAGGTCTCCCATAAGAATCGTCAAATCCTTTGGTGAACATTTCTCGACGATTGACTGCAGCCTTTCGTAGAATTGATCTTTAACGTCGTCATTGTAGTCATTGGTAGGTGCATAACATTGGATGACGTTCATTGCAATGTCCTGTTTCTTTGTTTTGAAGGATGCTTTAATGATCCTCGGCCCATGAGATTCCCATCCTATCAGTGCCTTTTGTGCATGTTTGGACAGCATCAGTGCAACTCCTTGTGTATGTGAAGCATTTTCCTCTTCATGACCAGAGTATAACAGCAGTTCCCCTGAAGCAAGTCTCAGTTATCCCACCTGTGTCCAATGCTTTTCACTGATGCCGAGCACCTCGAGGTTGTATCTTTTCATTTCTGCCGAAACTTGAAATAGTCTTCCAGTCTCCCACAATGTACAAACGTTCCATGTACCTAAAAAAATGGTTGCTCTGGTTGTCAGAAGAGGCATCAGCCCCGTGACTTCCGAGGGAACTCGGCTTTCATCACGAGACGTCATAATTCTTCTTCCAACTCCCAGGTCAGAGTTAAAATGGTTTGAATTATTTTTTTTCCGGTTAGCGTTTTTTTGGCAAGTGAGATTTCAACGGAATGGGGTCGCCAACCCCATGTCCAACCCTCCTCCCTTATCCGGGCTTGGGACCGGCAGTAGCCCCTAAGGTTCTACTGGCAGAGTTAGCTTGTCCAAGAGGAAGATGATAATCCGTATGTGAGTATGTGATTGTCAAGTCTCTTCCTAATGCTGTCCACTGAGGAGGATGCGGTCGCCTCGGCTGGGAGAGCATTCCAAGTCTCTACGACTCTTAATGCGAAAAAGTGTGCATGAACTTAAGTATTTGCTCTTTGATGTGCAATTTTTTGAGGATTGCCTCGAGGGGAGTGGTGATGATGCATCGGTAGGATGCTCACATCGGAATAGTTTCGTGTGCTTAATATGCTGTACGCTATTATCAGATCCCCTCTGATCCTCCTGTAACTCAGTGGGAACAATCCCAAGTGCTGGAGGCTATCACTGTTAGGTTTATTTTTCAACACTATCATCCGTTTGGTTGTTCGTCTCTGCACTCGATCCAAAAGATTTATGCCTCTTCTGAGCAGAAGGGGTGCGATGACGTTGGGAAATTCAGGTGTGGGCGCGTGTATGTCTTAAATAATGTTAAGAATAATTGTGGGGTGATAGCACCAAGTTGTCTTCGCATGAAGTGAAGCGTCGCATTTGACTTTGCCACGTCCCCCATATAGTTTGGGCTCCTATGGTGGCTTTCTGTGGTTAGTAAACGGAGATTACGCTATAAGGAGACATTAGGGAGCGGACTCCATTTGACGGTGTAAATCGTTTGCGTCATATGGGGAAGAATGTTCATGACGTGACACTGGCTGGTTTAGCCTTAAACCGTTTTTCACTGCCCATTCATCTTAGGATGCAAGGTCCTTTAGAAGCTCATTCGAATCCTCTTCACTTCTAATTTACTTCCAGATCTTCACGTCGTTTGCGTAGATCAGTTTCGGCGAGCTAACAGTGCTTAACAAGTCATTAATGAGTATCAGGAAGAGAAGTGGACCTAAGATGGTCCTCTATGAAACTCCTGATGTGGATACTCGTCAACTTTCGTGCACTCTATTTACATTGCTACGAAACTTTCTATTTTCAATGTAGTTTCTGAGCCAAATGGGTCAGTGAAGCCTGTTTCGGTAACCTTTGTGATTATTCGTGGGTGAGATACTGGATCAAAGGCTTTCACAAAGTCAAGAAATATTGTTTG